AATAAAAATTAAAAAAAAACTTGATTTAATTCATTGCAATAGTCGACTTATTTTCATTCTTTGTTTTTGCACATCATCTGGGACAAGGGTTCCCACTGGTTGTTTACCAAGGTTATGCATAATCATGACCTTGAGTCTGCATCTTGACCAAGAGCATTGATGGCTCTCCTGGCTGGAGCTGCTGGGTCAGCAGATGTGGATGTATGAGACAGTTCTCTCAAAATAGATCAGAGACCTGTTGTCTGTGAATAGAATGTGTCCTTGGTCATTAACTGTGCATGTTGGATCTAATTGCATAGTGGATGAATGTAGTACAAGTTACACTCCACAACCCACTTTCACCACTTGTTTATTAGAAACAGTAGACCCGCAAGAAACCTGACAAGATAAGGAGTTTGAATTACAGGGACTGTTGGAGACAGATGCCATCAAAAGTACTCAAGTGGTAGGGACTTCATTTATGGCTCCTCTGTGACCCTGCCTGAGCTTTATTTCGGGTTGACACATTCTTAGACATTGGAGTTTCATTTAATACCCTTTTGCTGTGGCATCCACTTTTTCTGAGCCCTGTCTGCTGACATCTGTGAGACTTTTATTTAGACAACTGGTGCCCTTGTTTGCTTGATGCACTAAGTAAATGCTTACCTTGGTTTACTGGATAATTAAACCCTGTGTGTGTGTGTGTTGGGATCAGGGGGATATGAAGTGGGAGCACCAGCATTCACACAGAATGTGGTGAGAACAAAAAAGGTGAGCTTGAGATGCATGAACCCTTCATCATTGTGCCCAGAGCAGAGATGGCAAATTCAAATGTTTCAGGGGCCAATCTGAAGGGTATCAATGGGCTGGGATGAGGCAGTGATGGCTAGAAGTCCTGACAGGAAGATTCCCTTCTCATTCATGATCCCCGTCTTCCTCTCCACAGGCCTTCTTGGACCCTGAACTGCCAGAACGCCTACAGTCTGCCAAGGTGGTTGGATGGATGCAATTTATAGCCACCTGCAGAGAGGGCCCCACAACACTTACTGGTCACATCTTCCAAATGAAGATGCTATTCTGTCTGCATTCTTCAGCAAATCCTATTGATTCTCTCATTTCTCGGAGGTTCCAGAAAGAAAAGGACAAAAGTGCACTTCATCCAGGGGATGCAGAATAAACAAGCTAGTTATTCAACCTGGGCCAAAGGTCTCCATGTGTCTTATTAATACTATGATTGTTTGATTATCATTAGAATTGTGGCTTATTATCATGGTGGAGAGGAGTCAAGAGAAGTAAACTATCTGGATTTCAAGAGGTTCCCATGAATGTTTAAGTACTGACATGGAAGAGAGGAAGAGATGTTCTACAGAATAATGGATGAAGAGGTAGAAGTGAGCAGACAAAAATTCTTTGCACATTTGTGGAGCGAGCCAAGTGACAGTGCTCTTTCCTTAAAAGCTAAGTTTTAAAAATTATAAGTAACGGTGGAGGGGTGGGCAGGGAGAAAAGTGCAACAATGAATGAATGGAAATCCAAAGTCTCTTTAAATTTTCATTGACATTAATAAAAAAGAAAAACGACAAAAAACTGAAGGACATATTTCAGTGGGCAAATCTGATAAGGACCTCTCTAAACTGCTAAAGAGTAAGGACTTTGGTGTACCTTCTTCAAACCATGTATTTTGTATTTTCAATCATCTCATATGCATGTAGAAGCTGAAAAATAAATAAGGAATAAAAAACTTATAAATAACACATTGTCTTAGTTTGCTAGCACAGGAATACTAAAGGGGAAAGGCCAAAGTGGACGGCTTTAAAGAGCAGGTTTTATTTGGCACAGTCCACAGGGAGTTGCAATACTAACCTCCAAGGTCATGCCTCTCTGGCCGTTCAAAACCACCGGCAGTTCTAAGGGAGAAAGATGTGCAATTGCCTTCTATTTCAATTTACAGCCTCTGAAGTTCAATGGAGAATCAGCTATGAGTCAGTCCCAACTCAGCAGCAATGTGTAGCAGTAAAAGAATACACCAGCCCATTGGTTTGGGGAGGCCTGGGGATGGAAGGGCCCTTCCTTGGTTTCTTGGCTTGTGTGTACAGAGCTTCACATAGCTGATTCTTCTCTAGGCCCATTCTGCTCCTTTCATAAGACACCACTCAGAAATGATTAGGTTTAGAACCCACTCTATGCTGGTAGACCCCATTAACATAACAAAAGTTTTCTTCACCCTGAAACCCACAGCGTCCCTTTTCAGCAGGAAGTAGCTAAGAGAATACACCATCCCCTTTTCCTTATGACTCAGGGTGAAGTCTCTCTCAGGGAGGAGTGATAGGGAATGGCAAAGGACACACTGACAAAGGAGATTAATCAGAACTGGCTTTGACAAGCACTGTGGCATTTGGACAAGAACAAACTGGGAGGAGGGTAGAGAGAATAGTGCAACAATGAATGAATGGAAACCCAAAATCTCTGTAAATGTTTATGAAAATTAATAAAATATAATTACAGAAAAAAAAACATAACAAAAGTTTTCTGTTTCCGCACAGAGTCAAATTTACAGGTACATGGCTGGGGCATCCACATTTCTAATATCAATAGGACACAGTTCAGTCCCTAACTCATGACTCACTTTCAAGAAATTCTGGAAAACACAGAAAAGCATAAAAAAGAAGGAAGTTCTGGGATTTCTGTAACTAGAGACAACTGCTGTTTATATTTTGGCCACGTTTCCTTCTTATCTATTTTCACTGTAGGGATTTTTATGCTTTTTTTGTTATGATGATGTAGATAGAGATTTATTACCTTGACTTCTAGGAAGGAGAAAAATTAAGCCCTAAGTAATTAGCATATCATATTTGGGACAGGAGAAGAAATACATGATGGAATTTCAGGAGCAGAAATTATCCTCACAGTCTTAGCCATCCCAGGGCTGCTATAAAGGAGATGCCACAGCGGATGACTTTAAGAAACGGAAATTTCTGTTTCACAGTTAGGAGGCTAGAAGATCAAGTTCAGATTGCTGACTCTAAGGCAAGACTTTCTCTCTTTCTCTGTGTCTCTTGGTTCTCGTACTTTCCCAGTGTAGAAGCCTCAGCCTGTAGGATGTGCTTATTTTTTCTTCTTCATGGTACTGATGCCTCCTTTACTCTGCTTGTGACCTCTCTCTCTCCCCTTCTTTTTCTATCTTGTAAAACAAGAGTCTGTAGCGAGTTTTCTTGCTACCCTACAGGCTGACCTTCTCGGGCAGTTTGAATTCACCAGCAGCACCGAGGGAAAAACACGGGCAACCTTCCCCATACAACTGACAGCCTAGGAAATCAATGGAGAGTCAGCTGTCAACTCAATGGCAATAAGAAGAAAGGCAAAAGATGACGTGGGGGTGAGCTCTGGTGGCCTAGTGGCAAGAAGCTGCACTGCAATCCCAAAGGTAAGCGGTTTGAATCCATCAGATGCTCTGCTGGAGAAGGAGGGACAATCTCCTCCTGTACCAGTCAGATCTGATTTGATGGCACACACACACACACACACACACACACACACACACACACACACGAAAAAGAAGAAGAAAGAAAAAAAGTAAAAAAAAAAAGATGATGCTGGGAAACTCTCCCCTTACATCAGACCAAGGCTGCCAACTACTAAGGGCGTTATGTCTCATTCTAATCCATTAACAACTGATTGATTGATTGATTATATCATGAGGTTGCTTACATCATCACATGACTACTTCTAATCCTGCTCCCTTAACATCCTGTTGTCTTTGTTATTATGTGCTGTTGAGTGGGGACCGACTCACAGCTGACCCTCCAGTGGGCTTTCAGGGGCTGTAAATCACATGGGAAGAGATTGCCCATATTTCTCTTACAGAGCAGCTAGTGAATTCAAACCATGTGCCTTTGGTTTGACAGCACAAGTCCTTACCCACTAGGTCACCAGAGCTCCCCATTAACATTCTAGAAATCAGGATTTCCACCACCCAGGGTAACTGCACAATACTGAGGGTCGTAACCTACCTAGCCCAGGTCGTACAAGTCTTTGGGGAAGCACCACCTATGACACTCATGTTCAGTAAACGGAGCAGGAGACCAGTCACCTCTCCTGTCTTGGAAAGATGGTCTTGGATGTTTCCCAACCATTCAGTGTAAATCAGAGCATTTTTGGTGGTAGAACTTACTGTTGAGATCAATGAGATGTTTTTGAGACCATGAAGCATCTTCCACGTGGAGCTGGAAGCCAGCTCTCTTTCAGCGTGTGAGCCTAGATGTACTAATGCCCGTGACCTCATCCCAGCCTTTACTCAGACTGTAATGACCACCGCAATTGATTAAAACACTATCTCCTCAAGTGCCAAATGCAGCGTGCTGCCGCCTCCTTCCAGCCCATTACTTCTGCTGCACCTCATCTTCCTTTAATGGCCATGTGTGTCAACAAGGGCGTGAGGCTTGAGGACAAGGCAAATGTTAGTGTATTGATTGGAGCAGCCTCTCGAAGGTTTCCCAACATCAGACTCACTGGTAAATGGCCCTGACGGTGAGCAATCGTCCTGGGGCCAGATCTCCCTGAGTCATTTATGAAATGATCAAAGCCAGATTAGGACATTTCCACCACAGTGAATTCTGTTATCATTATCACGACTTCTATGACTAACACCTACCATGTTGTTGTTGCTGTTGTTGTTGTGTACCCTCGAGTCAAAAACCCACCCATAGCTGACCCTCTGGCTGGTTTCCAGGGGCAGTGAATCGCACAGGAAGAGATTACCCATCCTTCTCCCACAGAGCAGCGAGTGGCCTCGAACTGCGTGCGTTTGGGATTGCAGCGCAGCTTCTTGCCACTAGGCCACCAGAGTGTCCTGCAATTACCACACTGACTCCAATTTTACAAAGTTTACATATAAACCTTTACACATAAGATTTCTAAACCTTATAAAACCTTGTCGTTATTCATTGCAGTCATGTTGCAGGTGGAGGGGTTAAATCACTTGGCTTTATTCTAGGCTGCTAACTATGGAGATGGCATAGTTTTATCCCTAAAACATAGAGCCTCCCTCAAACCTATAGTGCTGTTTGAGGGTTAATTTTCCATTCTATTAGCTCTGTTATTATTCATTCTGTGGAATGAATTTCTGCTTAATTAATGGGAGCTCTGGTGGCCTAGTGGTAAGAACTTGTGCTACAATCCTGAGTGCACACGATCTGAATCCACTAGGTCCTCCGTGGGGGGACGTTCAACCTCCTCCTGTGCAATTAACTGCCTCTAAAAACCCACTGGAGTTTTAGCTACCAGCCGGTTGTGACTCAATGGTACTAAAAAAAAAAAAAAAATTTATCAACTCTGGTGGCCTAGTGGTAAGAAGCTGTGCTGCAATTCCAGAGGCACACGGTTCAAATCCTCCAGCTGCTTCCTGGTAGAAGGCTGGGCAATCTTCCCTCATACAATTTGCTGCCTCTGAAAACAGGCTGAAGGGTCAGCTATGGATCGATTCTGACTCCAAGACATACAACAGCAACAATGACTTAATTAATGGGCACTCATTTTCTCTTGGAGAGGATTAAACCAAGCTACTCCTTGGAGGCAAGGATTCTGGGGCTTCGTCTGACATACTTTGGACATGTTGCCAGGAGGGACGGGTCCTTGGAGAGGGACATCATGCTTGGGGGGGTTGAGGGACAACGCAGGAGGGGAAGACCCTCTATGAGATGGATTGATTCGGTGACTGGGGTAATAGGGATGGGTGTGTCAGAGGCGGTGCGGTTGGTGCAGGATAGAGCAGGGTTTAGGGCTGTTGTGCATAGGGTCGCTATGAGTCGGAAACGACTCGACGGCACATAACAACATCAACAACAACAACATTTTCCATCCTATCCATTGCCTGGAAAATTGAGTCTCCAAGCTTTAAACTAGGGACTTTGTATTAAGAGAAATTTTAGGCAACTAGCTTAGGTCATTGCCCAGTACAGAGGCTGGAAACTGAGGCACCAAGAGATGAAGTGCTTTTCTCATCAACACACAACAGGTC